GCTTGCTCAGGGAGGATGGTGCCCAGCACGTGCTGCAATTTGGCTCCGGCTCTTCTGGCCTTGGCCAACGCTGGCCTTTCCAGCAGTGGCTTTTGTGTTCTTCAGACACGCTGAAATTCCAGCCGGACGGCGGCTGCCATCCTGCCTCCCCCTTCGGGTGTGTTGGGCAGCCCCGCCCCATGGCTCTCACCCTTCGCTGCCCCTTGGTACTCAACTTCTCTTGAGTATGGGCTAGATTATTCACTCAATTCCAACTACTGTGGCAAAAGTAGTGACATTTCTGAGATGAGATTATAAAAAGGCTGTGGCCGTCCCAAGTTCTCTTGAGTTGTCTGCTCTGTGGTAAGCCGGCTGCCCTGTCCTGAAGCCCTTTGGAGAGACCCACGGGAGAGAGGTCGGGAGCAGATGCTTTCCCCCGTCAAGCCCTATATGACTGCAGCCCTGGGACGCCTTGATCGCAGCGTCGTGGGAGACCCTGAGCCAGAAGCAGGCAGTGGAGCCGCTTCCACAAAAGCCGAGATAATCAATGTTTATTGCTTTCAGCAACCAAAAGTTTGGGGGTGCTTTGTTATGCAGCAATGGGTAACACTCAGTCCCCAGGTTCATCTGGGGCACTGGTGTAATTCCAGAGCTCCAAGGACTGCAGCTCCCCGCCACCTGGCAAGAACCCCTTCCCCTGGCGGGACCGGACGCTGTTCAACCCGCCTGGGGTGCCATCAGCTCCTGTTGTAAATAGCCAGACCCTAGCTCGCTCCAGCCAGCAAAGTATCCCCAACTGCACACTCAATGCATAACTTGCTGCCAATTACACTAATGGGACTAGACTAATTATGTTGACCTTTAAAAACGTTTTCAGATAAATACATAATTAAATATTTCAGAATAAAATCCTTTTCTATTGTGTTTCACCAGGGAACGGGTGAAGAGGGAGAAGAGGCTAGGGCAGGAGAGGCAGAGTTGATGCTGAAGTAGGAGAGAGGGAGGCTCGGAAACCCACTGAGGACACTCTGAGACCCAGGTGAGGAGTGGAGCCCAGGCCAGCTTTGCAGGAGGGCAATGCCATACTATGTATCAAAAGCCTTTAAAATGCCCGTACCCTTTGACGGCACGAGACCAGAAATCTGTCCTAAGGAAGTAATCAGAGGTGGAGACAAAGATCTACATGCAGAGTTGGTCAACGGGTGGCTTCTCAACCTAGGCATGACTGGCATTTGGGACCAGATAATACTTGGTTGTGAGGCTTGTCCTGTGCATTGTAGAATGTTTACTCAGTAGCACTCCCTCTGCCGTTGTGACAATCAAAAATGTCTGCAGACATTGCCAAATGTGCCCTGGTTCTTAAAGACATCATGCTCATCCTACCCCAGGGCTGTCATGGCCCGTTTATAGGACGGAGGATGAACACAGACACAAAACACAAACCCAGAACACAAAGAAAACACAGACACACGTGCAAACAGTTGACTTGAGTAATAACACACCAGGTCAGTTTTATTTTTATACTCTAAAAGATTAAAGTTAGTTCCTTGTACGTAACCACCCAGGCATTACAACAATGGCCATAAATTCCGGAATAGCCTTAGAGAAGCAAACGTCCCCTGACTCAGAATCTCCAGGTGGTTGCTCTGGGCACTAGGCATAGATAAAGGACCGGGATTAGCAAGGATGGGCAAGGTGAGCCACTGGGGGCATTTCTTATCCTCAGCTTTGCTTAGGGTGACCCCCTAAGATCTTCGGCTGAACCCCAGCGACTGGGCCTGGCTTAGGTCGCCCCTCCCTTGAGGGGTCTTACCCATCATTGACTAACCAGACATCTTATGGGGTGTATGCAGCAATCACAGAAACAATATGTTTATCATGTGGCTTCCAGACCCCCAATGTCATGGGGTGGGGCTGCTCTTGCTAGTTGCGACTCAGGTCCTTAGTTATGCCTCTAGGCAACACCTTTGTTTACCATAGGGAGCCTGTCCGGAACAGATTACTTTCAAACACTCTGAGCAGAACACATACATTACTCACTAACTTTAATTCTTAAACTAGGAAAATTTATGTCAGTCCCCTACACAGGGCCTTTGCATCTACCATTCTCTGTGACTGGAGCATCCTGTTGATAGTTATTAGCAAGGCTCACTCCCTTGTTTTATTCAGCTCTCTGCTCCAATGTTGCCTAGGTTGAGAAACCCTGTCTCTAGGCCATGTGGAAGCTAGGTTTTCATTTTCAGTGTGAAGGGCATTCATTGCAGGGTTTAGAGTAAGGTAATTTGATTTATATGATCTTAAGAAGATCACTGGGGCTGCTTGGTAGAGAAGAGGCTGTTGTAGGCTCTTAATTCCCACTTGGTCATGGTGTATAATTTATTTTATACATTGTTAGATTGGATTTGATAATAATTCTTGAGGATTTTTGTGTTCATGAGAGATATTGATTTGTAGTTTTCCTTTCTCATAATGTCCCTTACCTGGATTTGATATTAGAATAATGCTGGCCTCATCATGGTATTTTTGTATGATATTTAATGTCATATTAAGTACAGAAAAATTTTAAATTATTACCGTAAGTTTTATTGTTCACCTTTATGTTATAGAATGCCAGTTTTAAATTCAAATATAAGAGTATTTAACTCACATGTGGGATCTTCCAAATCACATAATTTTTATTTTGTAGCTTGTCATAAACTTATATTTCATTCTTACTAAGATACTGAATTGACTCACAAAAGTAACTTCAGTTGTGCGTATTTCGCTTCTCGGTACATGTATGTTCCACCAACACTCTGAGTACAGCTCCCTGGTGAGTGAGGAAGGACGGGAAGGAACTGGGGGTTGCCCAATCTTTCCCTGTGCATCTGTGTTGTCATTTGCAGTGTAAGCGGTTGGCTGATGCCAGGAGGAAACGCAAGTAAGAAAGGATGTGCTAACTAAAACCAAAACAAATGAGAAAACAAAACAACAACAACAACAAAACACACATACACAACTAGCAAACTAGAAACAGAAGGAAACTTTTTAAACCAGATAAAATGCAATTACCAAAAGCCTACAGCATATGTTGAAATTTAGAGTAATTCTCTTTAAAATCAAGAAAACATGACAAGATGCTTGCTGTCACCACTTTCACTAAATATCATGTTGGAGGTCCCATCCTCCCAACCAAAGCCAATGCAAAAAGACAAGAAAATCAAATGACAGGCTAATGAATAAGAACAAAACAAAGCAAAACAAAATTTCATGACTCTAAGATGCCTTGACTGTGCTTGTAGAGAATCCAAAAAAATCTACAGACAAATACTAGAAATAATGAGACTCAAACCCAGTGTTTACACAACAACAGTTAGAAATCATAGTTTAAAAGATACCAAGTACAATAGCAAAATGAAATCTGAGAGACACAAGAATACATCTACCTTTCAAAATTATTGAAAGGTATTCAAGATCTACATGTAGAGAAATATATCATATTCATAGATGAGAACACTTAATATTGTAAAGATGATAGGTCTCTTTAACTAGTTTTATAGATTCAATAAAATTCCAATAAAAATTCCAATAGCATATTTCAAGGAACTTGACAAGCTGATTGTAAAATTCATAAGAAAAATGATAAGAAAAAAATAGCCAAGACACACTTGAATGACAAGGCAGAGGACTTGCCATTTCAGATAGCAAGATTTATAAAGCTATGGTGATTAGAAGTTGCATCTTGATTTAATGAGACCAGTGGGAGAGAATAGAGTGTACAACAGACCCACCTGTGTATGTTAAGTATGTATGATGGAGTTTTCCTCCTAGACCAGTGGGAAAAGATGGACTATGTTGCAACTTTTATTATCCATGTGGAGAAAACAAATCAATTTCCTAATTCAGAACACTACAAAAATCAGTTCCAAATGGATAGAGATTTGAATATGAAATGCAAACTTCAAATATTTCAGAAGAAAATGTGGATTACTTTTATGATCTTGGGTAGGGAAGGATTGCCTTACCAATGAACTAAAAGCACAAATCACAAAAGGAAAAGTTTGAAATTTCTGATTAAATTACAATAAAGATGTTTTGTCTTTCCAAAGACTACCAAGAAAAAAAAAAGTGAAAAAACAAGTGCTAAATGAGACGATATTTACTACATATAATCAATAAATGACCAAGATCCAAATGGACAAAGGACTCCTAAAAATCACTAGGATAGCAATGAACAAAGAATAGAAAATTAGATAAAAGATGTGAATGGGCATTTCACAGAAAAAGAAACTGGGACATATGTTTAATTTCACTGGTAATCAGGGAAATGAAAATTATGAATGCAGAGAATTATCATTTTACATCCACTATTCTGGACTAAACATAGAAGCCTGACAAATTTGGGTCTGGGTGTGGAGCAATGGAAACTCACATGCCACTGCCGAGATGGGAACAGACAGAGCCATGTCACAAAACGATTTGGCACTGTCTTGTGAAATTGAGCGAATACCCCCCACACACTAGCAATTTCCCTTCCAGAATGTGTCCCAGAGCATCCCTGTGCAGGTGCATCGGGAGACTTTGCAAGAACATTCACAGCAGCCTTGTTTGTGATAACCCCCCCCCAAAAGAAAATAAAAACTAGAAACAATTCGCCTATCCACAGACAGGAGGATAGATGCTTGCATTGTGCTATATTCCTCCAACGGAATCCTATACATCAGTTACATTAATGCACCGCAGGTGCACATGGGCTTAGCTATAGACAATGCTCAGTGAAAAACACCAGGGCACAGAAAGATCCATGCATACTGAGGATATTTATATAATATAAAGTCTCATTCAAGCAAAACGGAGCACGCCTTGTGTGGCGATACAGCCGTATGTGATGAAACTACAAGGCAGAGATGGACAAGGTGGACACAGCGTGCAGGACTGCGGTCACCTTTGGGAGGTTTCGGGGGGAGGCAGCTGGGGAGGGTCACCAGGGGCTTCAGCGCCCTTGGAAACATTCTACTTCCCAAGCTCTGGTTCATGGCAGTTGATTTTATTATGATGCTTCATAGCTTACACATTTGCTATATAGGATTTTTGTAAAAATCAAATATGACCTCATAAAAAGAAGAGATTTAATGAAGTAATACACGAAAAGCTCCCAGCACGGGGCCCAACGTGCATAAATCATGCCCGCTAGGATTGTCTGCACGCTTTCTGCAGTCGGGCACTGCACCAAGTGATTACACACATGATCCCATTTAGTCTTCACGGCAGCTGTATGATAGGCGCCCATTTTCCAGATGAGGAAACAGACATCCAGAGAGGTCAAGCAACTTGCCCCGGGTCGCACAGCTAAGAAGGGGATCTGCCAGGCAAGCCCAGGTCTGTGTGACCCTATATCGCTCAGTCTCGGCCACTGGACCCCGCCTCTCACACAGCAGGTGCTCAATAAAGGGCGAGGCTGCTGTGGTCCCTCAGTTCACACAGCAGCACTCTCCTCCTCCTCCTTGACAACCGGCACGGTGCGTCTTGCATCCCTCGTGTGTCAGCAGAACTCCTTGCAGGCTCCTCCAGTGCACAACACAACACACACCTGCGCCTCCTCTGCACGCCCTGTGCCAGTGCACCCAGCCGGAGCACAATAGATGCTTAACTTTTCACTAGGGGTGTTACAGAACCCATGTCATGTGGGGGCCCCAGAGAGGCTCGACCCTGTCAGCCCAGGTGGGGAGCCCCAGGGCCCCGAGGAAGGGGCGGGAGGGCCGGCACTCACCCCGGGAGCTGTAGCCGTGGGTGTCCATGAAGGACAGGCCCAGCCGCTCGTCCTCCTGCAGGGTGCTCTGGTCCGTGAAGCTCCGGTCCACGGCGCTCATCATGTGGGTCTTCTCCTGGCGGTAGCTGACGGTGGCCTTGGCCATGTTCACCGGCTTCCTGCAGAGGGCGTGGACAGGGGACGCGGGCACTGCGCGGGGCTGGACAGCACCCAGGGTGGGGAGGCCCAGCAGTCAGGGGCCTTGAGGCCAGGAGCTGCAGCTGTCTGGAAGCGTCTCTGGGTGCTGAGGGGGCTCTGCCGCCATCCTCCACTCAGCAACCCGGGGAGCTGCTGCCTCCCCCAAAGGGCTGGCAGGGTCCCTGTCCTGGGGACCTGGGCGGAGCACCGAGGACAGAGCAGCAGTGGCCTCGGGCTGGGACTCTCACTGGCCCCGTGGGCTCAGAATGGGAAGAAAGTCACTCTGGGCCTGATTTGGTGTCACAGCAGACAGTCACCACCACTGTACCCAAGCCAGGCAGGCGGCTGGGCCAGCCCCGGCCCCAGCACCTCCCCCCTCCTCCCCCGTCCTGCCCAGAGCCCTACAGCCAGGTCGTTTTCCTCCAGTGGAGGGATGGGGGACGCTGCAGGAAGATACAGGGTCTGGTGACGGCCCCAGCCAAGGAGGAGTTTCTCACAGGCGGGGACTGAGCTCCCACCTGGCTTCCCAGTCCCATGGCAACAGCCCTCCAGCAGCCACCGGGCCTGCGCCCAGCACCAGCCACAGAGGACTGGGGGCAGAAACCCACCAGGGCCCATGTTCGTGCCACCCCACATCGGCCCATCCAGTCACAGAAGGAGAAGGTGAGAGGCCCTGGTCCCTCCCCTGGAGGGACAGAGCTTCTGGAGAGTTCTGTGGGCAAGGCCCTTGCACGTCCCAGGCCTCCAGGCCCAGCTTCCGGATGAGGACGGAAGTTAGTGGCTTTGGAGGAACCTGGAGGAAGAGGAGGGAGCAAAGGAGGCGGGTAGGCAGGGACGCCTTCATGACCAATGACCAGAAACAGGCAAAGGGGAACGACTCGGGACCCCTGCCGAGGGGGAGAACAGCCCGAGGGGCCAATCATGAGGAAGGCTCTGAGGAGAGAGCGGTTCCCCTGCCCCACCCTACAGCACGCAGGATGTGGGAGGACCTGAGGAAGGACTTCCGGATTGTGAGTGCTCGGGGCAGTGACCATCTGTGGAGACAAGGAAGCCGAAGAAAGGATTTTCCCAGTCAGCCTGTCCTGGACCAGGATGTCCCTCCTGTGCTCAGAAGGCAGCTGTGTCCACACCGGGACCGCTGCTGCTGTGCGCAGAGGGACACGGCAGGCCAGCCTCCCCCGCCAGCCCCGCCGGCCGTGGGCATCACCGTCACCGTGGCCGGGCGGAGCCACAGACCGCTTTGGGGGCAGGTGAGGAGGAGCCGCTGTGGCTGTGACTGTGACCACCTGGCAGAGGGCAGAGACTTAGGAGGACACAGGGCAGGAGGAGGAGCAGAGAGAGAAGGGACAGTGACAAGGACAGAGAGGACGTGGGGAAGGGGACAGAGAGGGAGGGAGGGACAGACACAGCAACCGCAGGGCAGACAGACAGGGCCAGGACACACGGCAGCCGGCCAGGCTGGCTGAACAGGGGGCCCCGGGAGGACCCCCAGTGAGCAGACGCTGGCCGGCGGGCAGTCCCCAGCGTGTGCCGCAGGGCTCTGCTCCTGCCCGCGACTCCTGGCTCTTGGAGAAGAACCACGAAAACCAACCAGCCGGATCCGCAGGAGACAGAACCCGGGAGGGACACCCAGCACTCTGCCGGCATCCGGCTCGTCTCCACTCGAGATTAAGCATTGATGTATCCTGAGTGTCAGAACAGTGCCAAGCACACAGTAGGTGCTCAATAACTAATATGCTAATGCATGTTGTGTGTACAGCTCCTGGCACCCTCACCCAATGATGGCTTTAAATCCTTTGCACTGGAAATCTGTGGCAGGACCAGGGCAGGGGACAACCAGAGCCTGGCACCCTGGACAGGCCTTTTCATGCTGCCCGACTCCTAGGCTTTGTCCCCTGCCTCTGCCTGGCCTCATGCCAGACTCAGAAAAGGTACAGGAGCAGTTCTTTGTCCTTCCTCTGCATCCTGCTTATCCCCTCCCTGCAGCCCCAGGATCCAATGCCAACTGGCCCAATGTGCCTGGCCTGGCAGCGGCTGTGCTGAGCCCAGGTGGGGAGGGGCGGAGCTGGCTCGGCCTCTGGCTCCCTGGGTGACCTTGGGCAGGTCCCCAGCCCCTCTTGGCCTCAGCATCCCTACCCTTAGTTAGGGTGCTTGGACCGCAGTGTCCTGGCCTGCCTGGTGGGGAAGGAGGTGGGGTGGGCTGGCAAACTGGGGGGCCTCTGAAGCCCCCAGAGTTCCTCCAACCAGAGCTGCTGCTCAGCTGTCACCTGCTCCATGTCCTGAGCTCCCAGGGGCTTTTCTTCCCCCTGTATTTTGAAGGCAGTTTTGTTAGACTGGAAACCCTGAACTGTCTGGCAGCTCTCACTGTCTGGGCCCTAAGGCTCTGCAATTCTGCATTCTGAGATTCTTAGAATCCCAAATCTGGGTTTATGAAACTCCAAAAATCCATGATTCTAAGTTCTGGAATCTCAGATGTGCTGGGATTCATGCTGTCTGCTACAAAATGCACCAGGAAGCACACCCCACACAAACACCAGCCTGGGCCTTTCACACGGGGGCTCCTGGGGTTTGCATCATCCCTGTTGCTCAGGGTCGACCCCTGAGCCCCAGGGTCAGGGCAGACAAGCCGATCTCCAGGGGCCCCTCTTGCCCTTCCAACAAGAACAGCCTCCCTGCTGAGCCCCTTCTGGGACGGCACCTGGCACCTGCCAGACCTGGGCTCCAGCCCCGCCGCTCCCTCTGCAAGGTCTCTGGCTTCCCACCCAGATGCACCTGACCCTTGCAGGAAAGGGATCTTGCAAATGACATCTGTCTCTTGTCCCCAACACATATCCTGCCTTTCAATCAGGCCTGTCTCCTCGACATCCCCTGTGATGCCATCTAAATTCTACCTTTGAGTCTTTGCTTATATTGTTCCCTGCCAGGAACAGCTGCCCTCCCTCCCTCCCTCCCTCCCCTCCCCAAACCTCCCCATTCAGCAGGTGGGGGATGGAGAGGATGCCTGGGTCCTCCTGTCCCACTATCTTTGCCTCCCAGGGGTGGGGAGGAGGGTGAATTATGTGCATGGACCCCAGTTCTTCATCTCAAGGATGGAGGATGGAGCACGTTGAGCACATTCTCGGCCTGGGGCCAGGACAGTTCCCAGCCTCAGGTCTCATCACGTCTCTACCTCTCTCTCTCTCACAAGAGAGGAGGAGCCACAGACACAGGCCTGGAGCCAGCCAGTCAGCCACCATTGTCCCGTGGCCCAGCCACGATGGCTGTCCTCCCACAGGCCTGCTCCAGGCCATGTGGAGGCCCGTTCTGTGTCTGCCCTCTGGGAGGCATCGGGTGCCCTGCTGCCCTGCCTGGGAGGAGCAGCCCTTTGTGAGTCCGGCTCGTGGGACCCGCAGGGAGCCTTCTTGACCGCAGGCCTGCCAGGCCACCCTCTTCTGCTCCCACGGCCCTGGGGCCTCAGGGTCCACCTCCTTAGAGCCCAGCAGGCCTTGGTCCTACTCTTGAAGGACTAAAGGGACCCAGAGCGGGAGCCTCCCACTCAAGGGACTTGCCTCTCCTGGGGAATCCACGTGGCTCCGCTGGTCTCCTGGGGCGGAGGTCGCGGGTCTCAGAGCTGCTCACTGCATGCCCCGCCCGCTCGGCCGTCTTTGGGGCTGGGAGCTCAGGCGGGGACTCTGTGGTAGGGCTCTTCCTCGAGTCCTCCCTCACTCATCTCCTCCCCAGTTAATGAGCTGGAAGCTTCCATAATGAGGCTGCTTCATCATCCAACGTGCTGGAGCAGCCGCAGGGGGAGGGGTGGATCCCAGGAGAGGGAGGGGGAGGTAGGGTGCTGGCAGCCCAGGATCTGCCCACAGGATCACCATGTGGAGGGCTCAGGGAGAGAAGGGAGGGGCGCCCCATGCCCTGAAGCTCTCCCTGGGGTGGCTCCCGTGCCCACGGGTTGGAAGGGGCTGGGTGCTACGCACGGTGGCCGCCCCAGCAACGCCAAGCTTCCCCTCATACCAGTGCTGGCACCTCCCACATGCTCCTGGGAACACCCCTCTGGTCACCCTGCATTCCCACCTGGCTCCTAGGGCAATGGCTCCGGCCTCTTCTCTCTGGGCCTGGGGCCTGCCACGCCCTCCCTGCCCTCCCTGCCACCAGGCCCTTGCCCACCCTGTTTCCTCCTCCAGCATCTCAGTCCTGGCTCTGCTCTCTGCACAAGCCCCTCGAGGGCCAGCTCTGTGTCTGCCTGATCAGATTCCCCAGAGTGCAGGGGGTGCCTGACACCTTAGCCAGTGCTTATTGAGCACTGACTGTGTGCCAGGACTGTGCTCAGCCCCTTACACACATACGTCAGTTAACTGTCCAGGTTACCTTTGTTACGGAGCCGTCAGTGGGCTCGCTGCCCAATGCGCATGGAAGCCAGTACCAGCCTTTAAGGAAAGAAAGGCTTTACTGCAAGTCCACTGGCAAAGAGACAGGAGTAAATGCTCCAGTCTGTCTCCCGGGGCTGGGGTCTGGGTTGGGGTTTGATTAGCATAAGGTAATGAGGCCTGATCAGATTGGATCTTGCAATGGGGTGATGCCAGGGCTTGATCTGATTGGATCCCAGATCCTGCCATGCAGGGTCCACTTCTTAATTCAGTCCTGCTCCTCAGTCTGAGCACATAGGTTCTGCCCACTGTTGCATGCTTGGTTCATCCGGGCATGCTCAGGTTACATGACCTTCAACCTGGGGGTCATGGCAACTGAAAACCAGCTCACAACTTTGTTACACGAACAGTTGAACCAGGTTGGTCTGGTGTGGTTACACCTTCAAGGTAGTACTGGAGTCAGGTGGAATTGGGGCTGGGGGTGCAGACTTGCAGGCCAAGCCAGCTGGACTTGAGTCTGGCTCTGCCTTTAGTGGCTGGGTGACTTGTATCAAGTTACATGAGCTCTGTGTGCCCCAGTTTCTAAATTGGAGTGAGTAATGACAGTGCCTCCACCCTGGGGTGGTTCTAAGGATTAAAAGAGTTAATATACATATATGTGCAGGGGAAAGATATGTAACCCTAACAATATTTGTACTCCCATAATATGAAGGAATAAAAATATATATATATATATGTGTGTGTATTACATATGCACACACATTTAAGACAGTGCCTGGCATGTACTAAGTGCTGTATAATGTCTCTGTTATCCCCATTGTGCAGATGAGGAAAGCCCCCTCCCTCCGTTCTCTCCCATTCCCCAGGCCATCAAACCTGAGTGGACTCAGGAGCTCAAATAAGTGCTTGAATACTTGTTTACTACAGGCTTTTATGCCAGCTGAGGGTGTGCAAGCTCACTACATATACATCAAATGTATTTCTGTGTGTTAGCATCAAAAAAATTGGCAAGTGAAATAAAAACACTGTTTTTTATCATAACAAACTCAAAAATATGTACAAAGAGACCCAACCAAAAAAAAATCATACAAGACTTCCTATGAGAAGTGCAATCAAAATGGTCAAAATACTCCAGTGGCCACTTCACATTAGACTTACGATGGCTAATAAGCATGTGGCAAGATGGACAATATTACTAGCTATCAGAGAAACGCAAAGTAAAACCACAACAAGATACTATACTCTCACGGAAACGCCCAACACTAATGAGACCACCCATACCAAGTGTTGGGAAGGATGGAGGGACCGAGGTCCTCCCCTTTTCTGCTGGTGGGGACGCGGCAGGCCCAGCTGCTTTGGAAAATAATCTGGAAGCCTCTTATAAAGTGAAACCTATACCTGGCCTATGACTTAGTGGTTCCAGCTATTTTCCCTAGATAAACAGAACATACTTTCACAAACTGTCTATTATAAGAATATCTATGGTAGTTTTATATGTATTAGCCCCAAATCAGAAGCGGCTCAAAATGCCCATTTCTTTCTGGTTTCTCCCAAGACAACCCTTCATTGAATCACTCGCACGGGGATCAGCAGGCTGCACCGGTCCCTGAACCAGTCTCTGTGCCACGGGGACACCAGGCTGGGATGGGCCCGGCCTGGGGCTCTGCTCACCCCTGAACCTGGAGTGATTTCGTCAAGACCAGTGAGAAGGGAAAAGGCTGAGCAGAGGTTGCAGAAGTGGCGCGGAGTGGGCAGAGCCATCATGTGTCGCCGGTGGGTGCAGTCTGAGTTAGGGGAGCTGAGGTGGATGCTGTGGGCCCCAGAGCCCCAGCCACACGCTCCAGCTGTGAGTGTGGACCGGGCTGCCCACAGCTCGCAGCTGGCCGTGTAATGGAGAACTGTCCTCAGCTGAGGGAGCTGACCGCTGACTAGCTGGGACCACCACCGGGCAACTGGCAAACCACCCTGGCACAGGGCACAGCAGACCTCCCTCTGCCCATGGGGGGATGGCCTATGTGGCCATGCGGCACCACACGGGACGATTCAGAGCAGGGGTCCTCAAACTTTTTAAACCGGGGGCCGTTCACTGTCCCTCAGACCGTTGGAGAGTGCGGCGCACATTCCACACATGCACACTGTGGGCCCGGGACGGGTCGGCTGCTAAGCAGGACAGGCAGCGGCCGCAAAAACACCCGTCGGGCAGGATAAATGTCCTGGGCTGGCCGCATGTGGCCTGTGGGCCGTAGTTTGAGGACCCCTGATTCAGAGCCTCCTGTGGGCTCCTGCAATCGCTATACCCCAGCTGAGCCACTCCTGGCCAGGCTTCTTGCCTTGCCCTCCATTGCCTTCCCCACCTCCCCTCCTGAGCGCGTGTCCTCTACAACCCCTACAAGTCCCCATCTCAGGCTTGGCTCCTAGGGAACCCAAACAAGGGTCTAATGTGGCCCCCGCCCACACGCCTGTCCTGTGTAGACTGTCCCCAGGCTTATGGTCTACCCCGTGCAAGGTGTGAGTCCTGCCCGCCAGGTCTGGGGAAGGCCACAGGTGTGACTCAGGAGCCCTCTCGAACCCACACTCCTGCCAGTAACTCATCTCAATTCTCCCCACACCTGCTCTGGGTCCTTAGGAAACCCAACTTCCAAAGTCTCTTCCAAGTCCAGGTTTGATTAACAGAAGGTTATAAACAAGCTTCAGAAGGAAGAAAACTAGTGTCTCCCTAGGGCAGCCGCAGTCTACTGGCGAATGCCAACGATATATATTTCTTTTGTTTTTGTGTAGACACACAGAACTAAGCTGATTAATACATTTTTCTTTCCCTCTTTAGGTCGTGGATTACAATGGAAATCTTTTTGCTCCATGGCGAACCGTGTTCCAGGTTTCAATAAGGGTTTTATCTTGGCAATTACAGTTCATTAATAGATTTACAAGGGAGGGGAGATGGCAAGGTCTGTGAGGATCGTTTTGCATTTCTCCTCTTTCCATTACACAGTTATCTCCCGTAGCAAAGCTTTTTGAAAGACGC